GATCGAACTCGGGTCCTTAAGCTTGCACAGTAGGCACTGAAACCACTGAGCTAAATCCCCAGCCCCTCACTTGCTTCTTTTGCTTCTCACCATACCCCAGAGGTAGACAGGGAAAGGAATATGAGCCTGTACAGTAGACAAGGGGCCCAGTTCCCTGAGGTACAGTGACCTGCTCAAGGCCACGGGGAATATGAGCGGGAGTTGGTAGAGCACTCCCACCCACGATCTGAGTCTGGGGCTTGTTTTACCTCCTGGCTTCTGGATGTGCCTGTAAACTTCCATATGAAAGGCAGGAAAGGGAAGGGAGCTTTGTCACCAAGGATCCTTTGGCCCTCTGGGGGACCTCTCTTCATAAAAGCCCAAAGCTATAGTTCCAGGGAAGGAAGCTTATAGAAGCATGGAAACGTAGACTCAGAGCCAGTGGGCTGGGCTCTAGACTTGGGATTTCTACTTTCTAGCTCTTTGATCTTGGATATATTGCTTATTTTTCTCTTGAGCCTCAGTTTCCTGAGAAGTGACAGGTCCCTGCTTCACAGGACTGTTATAGAATCTATGAGGACCAAGGGTGAAAAGATTTTATGTCCTGTGATGTATCGTATGCATGCCGGTGGGGGGAGGGGGAGACAAAATGACATGGCACACTCGAAGCAGGCAGACAAGGCCCAGACCCAACCCTGGGTCAGGACGTTCCCTAGATGGAACTCTACAGCTGAGGCCTCTGTCACAGCGATGAACTCACCCCCATCTATACAGCCCCCTGTCCCCCTTCCTGCCACTGCCTGATTTGGAGGGGAGGGAGGGCAGGGTAAAGAGTTCCTCTTCAATTTGAACCCACAAGAGGGCATTTTCCTAAATTCCTTGGCCTCATAAAAAAATATCTGCTTACTGGTGGCTTATAAATCCACCAGGTTCTGACCAGCATCCTCTTCCCAAATACATTTGGCCATTTTGGTACTTATTTTTTCTACATGGGGTGAGTAGGGTGCATGTAACTCACAGCTCCTGCCCTGCTGGCCTCGATTGGGATAGGGAGCAGAAGAAGGTATTGGTATGTGCAAGAAAATTACTTTTACTTCTACTTTTAAATTTAATTTAATTTTGTTTTTTTGAGACAGGGTCTTGCTATGTAGTTCAGGCAGCTTTGAACTCACTATGTAGCCCAGAGTGGCCTCAAACTGGTAGCCATCCTCTTGCCTCAGCCTCCCGAGTGCTGGGATTACAAGCATGTGCCACCACATCCAACTAAGTTATATTAAAGCCCCAGAAAAGCCACACATACCTCTTCAGTTAGTTACTCAAATCTTTTTTAAAAATTAATTTTATTGGTACATTTAAGGTATAAAATATAATGACATCCATCATTGGAAATTTGCAAGTCACTCAAATCTTATAGGGCCTTGTAGAAGATAAAATGAAATCCCTGGCTGCTGTGACATTTTATACCTTCTCCCCAGAAAAGGCTCATTGCTATAGTGGTATTGTTTCTTTTTATATTCACATTATCTAAGGACATGGGTGCAGTCTCTAATCTCACACAGTTAACTGTACCTGGAGGCAGGAAGATAGACTACACTCCCCTTCCAGCCAGCACCAGGGTGCTTACTTGCCAGTACCAGCCTTGAGGCCATGAACTCCTGGAGGGCAGGCAACTGCCTCATTCATATAAGCATCTGCGGCGACTAGCCCAGTGCGAGGCATACTATAGGCACTTAATAATTACAGTCGCTGTTTATTGTGTCCTGTGCTAGGCACTTTTTCTATATCATCTCACTCCTTACAACAATCCTGCAAAGTAGATTTTCTTTCTTTTTTTCTTTTCTTTTCTGTCTTTGTGGTGATGGGGATCAAATTCAGGTTCTCAGGCATCCAAGGCAAGTACTCTACCTCACAGCTATACCTCTGGCCCCAGAAATATTATTATTCTATTTTACGGATGAAGAAACAGGTACAGAAAGGCAAGGTAACATGTCCAGGGTGACATGGACAGTAGATAGCAGAACAAGACTGGAGAGAGGCTGACTAGCTCCTGAGCTTGTTTTTTGCAGTTCCATAGTTGGCTCCTGGCCATTCGTCTCCACTGCTAGAAACCAAACCTGTGCTTCACAGTGCCATTTCTGAAAGGCCAAGAGGCAGAGTCCAGCCCTGACTCCATCCTGTATTCCTGATTACCCTCTCCATCCCAATGGCAGAGTAGGGCTTTCATCCTGGTGCCTTTCCTTATTCCTGATGTCTGCAATGGTGGGTGGCAAGGATTTCTTATCACAAGTGCACTGCAGCTAGCTGAAAAGGAAAACTCATGATGATCAAAATAATGAGGCAGTTGAAGGACACTTTGGGCTCTTGTTTATCCTCCAGGGAGCAGCATAGCCTAATCTGGACCATGCCGATGACTCCTTCCCCAGCGAGGCTCATTTGGTTGTCTGTGAAGTGATACCAGTGCTGCTGACCCTTCTCAGAGAAGGGGAAGGGGAGGAGGTGTGTGGGGGGAAGCCAGGGCTTGGACTGGAGAAGAATAGAGATGAAAAAGCATGAGTTTCAGGCTGGCTTTAGAGCACAGCATCACTGCTTTTAGAAGTCAAAAGTTTTTCTCCTTCCTTCTTTCCTTCCTTCCTTCCTTCCTTCCTTCCTTCCTTTCTTTCTAGTGCTGGGGCCATGCACATGCTAAGCACATAGTCTACTCCTGAGCTACATCTCCAGCCCAAGAGTCTCTTTTTTAATACATGTTTATAAAACTTCCTTCGGAGCTCTTTGTCTTGCCTATTTTGCTAACTTTCTCCTTCCTACAATGAGAGTTAAAGAAGAAATGACTGTAATTCAGAGGGTGCTTAGATCCAAGCTCTTGGCCAAGGAGACACTGGGGGCTCAAAGTCTTACAAGCCCCCACCTGTCACTAGGAGAAATTCTGGCAACAGCTTGGAAAGTGGCTTTGGCTGGCTGTGGGGGCACGGGAATTTTCCAGTGGAACATAAACAGGTTGTGTGGAGGGAAGCTCACTCTGAACTAGGGAGGGGTCCTTGATCACCTGTCTCTTCC